ACGGGCTCTGAGCGGGAGAGGTAACAATCAGTTTGGTTTTAGGGACACAGAAACAGGTGTGACCTCCTATCAACGGTGTTCTGGCAGCAGATGGGGACCGGAACAGCCCAGATGAGCGAGGAGCAAGGACAGGCTCTGTACCCGGACGGCCTGTGCCAGTGTGGGACTGGAGGGAGCATTCACATTTGAAACAGCCAGGACTTGGTGGTGGAAGGCCCTGATGTGGGGACTGACAGGGAAGGAAGAGGAAAGAAGAGAGTGGCACGTCCCAGAAGCGGTGCTCAGGAGTGGTGGCTGCTGTGCGTCGGTCAAGGCTGAGACGAGTGTAGGATTTGGTTGCAAGGAAGTAGGGTCTTGGGGGCAGTGGGTGGGGAAGCCAGACTCGCGTGGGTGGAAAGTAGAGGGGGAGGTGAGGAAGTGGGCCCAGCAGGGAAGACAGCCCTTTCAAGAGTCACGGTGAAGTTCCCCTGCTTGCTGCTGACCGGAGGGGCCCTCGGAGAGGTAGAGGCCAATGTCAGACAAGCAGAAGAGGAAACCGATTGAAAAGTGTCCCAAAAAGAGGGAAGGTGGAGGACAATGGGGAAGGAGGGAGGGCAGGAGGCCACGGATAGGTCTGCAGACTTGGTGATGGGAGGCCGAGTTTGCCTCTGACATCCTCTGCCTTCTTCCACGTGGGAGCTGATATCACCTGTGGAAAGCAGGGGGGGGGGGGGGACTGGCGGAGGGGGTTTGAGAAGGGCGGAGGCACCTTGTAGCTCCTTCTGGGGAACACATCGGGCGGAGGCCTGGGGCCAACAGGCACCGAGAATGGGTGGTGGCGCCCACTCAGTCAGGTGGTGTGACTCCTAGCTGGGTCTCCCGCCTGCCCTCGCTCCAGGCCAGCGTTGCCCTGCAGGCCTGGGGAGCCCTGTGTATCCTGCAGCTCCTCGAAGAACCACGCCTAAAACGGAACTCAAGGTGAGGCCTCTCCACCCCCACCCAGCTCAGGCCTTGCCTCCCAGTTTCTATTCCTGGAACCAGACGGCTGGGACTCTGCCCCTGAGAACCCTGACGCCAGGCCACTGCTGACTCTCACACCCCTGCCTCCCCACACCCCGCCCCCTCTGTCCTGTACATCTGCTGTTTCCATCTTTCAGGAGCCGCTGTGGCTGTGGCACCCCCTACTCAGCTGCCCCCTTGGCATCTCCCAATTCCTAGAAATAAAGCTCTCATTTCTGCTTATTTGGGGTCTCAGTTTCAATGCTTCTAGTTCTGGGAAGCCCGCCCCAGTCTCTCCCTCCACCACCCCCCAGATTAGGGAAAGTCCCAGTGGTACCTGCGCCCACAACACTGGCACATCTGTGAGATTCTTGGTGAACTTGCAATTAGTTATCCTCCCCCAGGAGACTGGGGCTGGCAGGGATGAGGGGTGGGGGGGAGGATCACCCAGTCTCCCTCATCCCCTCTGCCTCCCCAGTGCCAAGGCCAGGGTCTGACACAAACAGGCACTTAATACTCAACCTTGTCATTCCAGAACCTCAAGATCCTGACTTAAATTCCCATCACGCCCCACATCCACCCATGCTCGAGGCACCCAAGCCTCCTTCCCAACCCCCAAAACCATCCCACACTTTCACTCCTGCCTGCAGCCCCTACCCCCGCCATCTTTGCTCAGATGGTTCCTTCCATCTGAGCCCTAATTCTCCCAGCCACCCTCCCAGCTGCCCACTCAGGGCCTGTCCTCCACAGAGCCCCGTGTGTCACAGCCGCAAATGTCCGTGCCTCTGCCCTTTCTCGGTAAGCTGAGGGCAGTTTCCAGTTTGTAGTCTGTCGCTGATTCCAAGGACAGCATTTGAGTGTGGAGCACCCCCCCCCGATATGACACCTGTGCAGCGTCTTACACAGCTGTGTCCCAGGGAGCACCTGCCGTGGTTTCACACACATAGTAGAGACGCAAGCACATGTCTGAGTATTTTCTCCCTCACACCTGTAAGAGTGACCGTGCTCACCTGAGTGCCAATCCTTCAGCTGTGGGGGAGGCAGCTGTTTTCATTCACCTGGGAACAAGTCTGCCATTCCGGATTGAGCTCATCCTCTCTAGATCAAGGTCGTGCCAGCCTCGGCCAGGCCAGCAGACATGCTTCCGCCCGAGAGAAGAGGAATTTCTCCTGGAGCAGTTTGCGACACGTCCAGCCACCCTGCTTTTGGGCTGTGTACATGATGACACACGAGAACAGATGGACGACCAGAACAAGGAGGAAGCCGCGCCTCTAAGAGCCAGGGCCTGTTTTCCAGGCTAGGCATCAGGATGGGTTTTTTACTGCAGAAAACAGAATCGCTGGGACTTTCAAAAATACTGCCTGCAGAGGCGCACAGGGTGCGAGAGCAGGCTGGTGCTGTTGGGGCTGGGGCAAGGGCCTCACGCTGATGCAAGCATGTCGGAGTGAGGCAGAGGTGGTGGTTGTGCTGTGCTGACGAGGGACTCACTGCCCCTGAATGACTCACTTAAAGTGATTAATTGTATGTTAAATTCGCGGCTCACTAGGCTAATCCTCCGCCTGCGGTGCCGACATCCAGGGTTCTAGTCCCGGTCAGGGTGCCGGGATTCTGTCCCGGTTGCTCTTTTTCCAGTCCAGCTCTCTGCTGTGGCTCAGGAGTGCAGTGGAGGATGGCCCAAGTGCTTGGGCCCTGCACCCGCATGGGAGACCAGGAGAAGCACCTGGCTCCTGGCTTCAGATCAGCGCAGCGCCGGCCCTAGAGGCCATTTGGGGAGTGAACCAATGGAAGGAAGACCTTTCTCTCTCTCTCTCTCTAACTCTGCCTGTCAAAAAAAAAAAAAAAAAAAAAAAATCCATCTCACCTAACAATGCAGTGCGGTGCTCCATAAAGCCCAGCTCCCACGTCCCCACATGGCCCACGCTTGTCCCTGGGGAAGGTCTGGGGTCCCCAGCAGCGCAGCGTGCTCACTCACGGACACCCTGACAAACCACCCCCACCGCTGCGTTGCGGTCATCTTCCCCTTCAGCTTACGTAAGGACTAAGTCCAGTTCCACAGGTGGAGCCTGAAGCAGGGTTTTATTTATTTCTTTAAGTGAGTGGAACTTTCCAGAGACGCCAACTCACAGACCATGGCTAGAACAGCATAGGCTTTACTGTGGCACCTGCGCACCGGGAAGAGGGGGGAGGTGGCTCACGCCCCGGGGGGCAGGGTCACGCACACAGTCCTGCTGTGGTCTCGCCGGCAAGAGCAGGGGCAGGTGCGAGAGCAGCGCCCGGCTCGGGTGCACAGCCCGCCCGGGAGGCCATCATGCTGAGGCCGGCTGTGTGGGGGCTGGCAGGGCCCTGCGACCCGCGGGGCCTGGGCCAGAGGAAGATCACAGCCTCCATTTCACCCACGGCCCTGGAGCCCCGAGCCCAGCGCTGCACCCTAATCGAGAAGCACCAGTCCACCCAGGCAGCAAGGCCGGCGGGTTTTAATGACTGTAGCACTCCGTTCCGCAAATATCGGCTGCGGGAGAAATTCCTTCTCCCTCACACAGTGGCGAGTCTAATGAACAGACAAGGCCTGGAGACAAAGCTGGATTCGCTTGGAGGACTTGGGGTCCAGCAGAGGAGGACGGTCCACCTGGGCATCTCTCCGGGGAGGACCCTGGGCATCCCACAATCACTCGGGTCCGCTCTCAGCCCGGATCCCTGAGCTGGTTTGTACCAACACAGGCTCAGCCTGCGGGTGGCTGCCGCCCTCCTCCGCCGGCCCCTCGGGGTCACTACCCCCCACTGCTCTCCTCAGGAACAGACTCAAAGGCTGTCTGGATGCTTTTAAGGCATTTACAGCCGCACAAAGCAGCTTGTACCTCCCAGGAGCAAGGGCCGCACCCGCGTGGAACCCTCCAATTGCCACATGGGTGAGGAGGTGGGAATGGAAGCACAGTGGATTTGGATGATGAAAAATATGGAAGCCCCCGGGCATGAGAGGCAAGCCTGGGAACGCGATCGCCTGTTTCTCTCCAGACAGCCCAAGCCCCGCAGCCCAGAGAAGCAGGGGCTGGAGTGGGGCCCGAGCAGTCCGGCACCTGCCTCCTTGACGTTTGCACCACAAGGAAACACTTCAAGAAAGGGCGGGCACCATTACAACATGGAGGCCAAAGAGGCCAGTCTGAGGCCCAACGGGGCCCACTCAGCAGGGAAGGGGGCACTATTGTTATCTCCTCCCACGTGGGTGTTCTTGTGAGGCTATCATCACACTGCCTCTTTACAGGGGAGGAAACCAGGGCTCAGAGCTGAAAATGCTTTTCCCAAGCTTCAACAGCTGGTGAGTAGTGGAGGCGAGCCCAGAGTCAGGGCTCCTCTCACTCCCAAGCCAATGCTCTTGGTTCCTCCAAAGAGCAGGGCCTGCACCTGCGCTGACCTAAAGCGCGTTAGAGCAAGGGGTCTCATTTCCAGGACGAGTCCTCGTCCTGCAGGCATTTACTGACCCCCTGCCATTTACACTATGAGGAAAGGACACCCCGGGAGAGACGTCCCCCAGGCTTCCTGGCCTATAGGACAAGGGGGCCTGGGCCGACACTTCTGAGAGCTCTTCGCCTGACAATCCCAGGAGTGTGGAGCTGCGACGCCCCTGCTCCCATGCCTGCCTCGGTGTGTCCAGAGCCCCCTCCTGACCACCATGGTGGCCTTCATGACCCATTTCATCATGGGTTCTTTGAAGATGTCGGGGTTTGTAAAGTCAACCTGTTCAAACAAAAGACAACCAGGAAGGGACAGCACCTTCAACTTTTATAGCTCACGCCCTGGCAGTAGTTGACAGCTGGCTGTGAATTAGGCCCTGAGAAGTAGGGGACAGAGACAAAGAGGGAGGTGGGGGCAGGTGCGCCCCTGCGCCGGCCGCAGCCCTTGTCTCGTGCAGAAAGAGGTTCCGGGCGAGCCCTCCCCTGAACCCACCCCCAGGTCCCAGCGGAAGAAACCAGCTGTACTCACCAAGACCAGACGGGAAGAAAGGATGGAATAAACCAACCACGAGAGACTCTTCCATCTTAATTCATTTTATTCTACAAAATGCTACTCAACAGAAAGTGGAAAAGCTAACAACAACAACAACAAACAAACAACAAAAAACGCAAGGGGGAAAAAAAGTTTAATATGTTCTTTCTTCCATAGCAGCAAGCTTTTGCTAACAAGCTTTCTTTAGTGCAAATACTGTAGGCTTGTATTACATACAGTAAAACGACAGAACAAAACAACAACGAAACACTGCGGAGATGCTTCCGAGAGAGCTACTCTTCAATTTGCAAAACTATACAAAGATTTTGAGCTCATGTCCTGTCTGGAGAGCTCTGTTTAGGAGACTCCACGATGGGACCATTTCACCATTACTTAAAAAAAAAAAAATAGGAAAAAGGTGCCCAGAAAGGTAATTAAATTCCCCCCATAGAGTTATAGGAACCTTGTACAACTCGCTTGCCTCCAGGGTCTCATAGCAGACTTCACGTCATTGACATATCTCAAATACAGGTGCACAAAGCTTATCATTGTCCACTATATACCAAAATACTATATATACATCTCCCACTGCAGAAAACACCCTGATACCTAGTCTTTATACAACGTCAACTATTTTCTTCCTCAAACTCAACTGACTGCAAACTAAAATTAATGGAATAAACCTTGAATCACACAGAGAAAATCCATTTTGAGGAATAGAACAGGATCTTGCCTGGTGTTTACTAACAATGTAGATTTCTCAGCGACCACTGTCCCCAGAGGAATGACAAACTGTCTTTCAAAACAGAACTTTTTTATACAGTTTATACAGCACAACTCACAAATCACTGTAGAAACAAAAAAGCATCATTATCCTAAATTAAAAAAAAAAAAAAACAAGGAAGTGAAAGAGAGAGATAAGAATGGAGTATTTTAATGCTATATGTTTCTATTCAGGCTTGGAACAACATAAAGATGTAAACATTTAAAATAAATAATAAATGTCAATTTCTTCTCCCCTCCCTCTCCATGCCCCCCCTCAAAATTTGACCCAGCCCCTCTTGAACATGTTGTCAGCGTTGGAAAGTTAAAACCCTTTGTTGATGTATGGCCGAAACATCAGACGCACGAGAAGATGAGAGATTAGTAGTGGGATGACTGGGTTTCCTTTTAAAAAACTTCAGGAGATTGCAGGCACACCTGGAAATACACACACATGCACACGCGCACACACACGCGCGCGCACACACACACGCACACACACTCCACCTTGCCAATAAATAGTGAGATGCTGGCTTTTAAGATGAAGGCCAAGATGACTGAACAAGCAGAACGCAGCAAGACCCTTTACTTAAGTGTTAAGAAGAAAGGTACACAACACCACATATCCTATTGGTCCACAAAGTCTCTAAGGACACAGCGCACCCCTCCACCAGTCCAAGGGGTGTGGAGGAGCACAGGGGGACAAGGTCGGAGGTGGCGGTGGCGGGGGGGGGGGGGGGCCTTTGACAGCAAACATCAGACCGAAGGCAGTCTTACCTCGAACCTTGGAAGGAAGAGCTTCTTGCCTCCAAGTGCTTTGCTTTTCCATTGCTCGGGGCCTAAGGGGTATCTCCTCCCTCCCTCCCCTCCTGGGGTAGAGTGTAGAAAAGTGCCTAACCTAGTGCCTGTGGGAGGTGCGTACTCTTCTCCTTCCTAGAGGGCCACGCACATCTGACGGGGAGAAAGGTGAGACTACAAGGGGCACTGCAGGCCATCAGGGGGACAGAAGAGTCTCAGCGTTCGGGACAGTCAACCGCCTCGCCCTTCCCGACCCCGGGAGTGCAGTGGGAGCTGAGACTCCTCCCTGCAAAGCCTGAGAAAGCAGCAGCCGCCCCACGGCCCTTGGCTTTGGGATGCTCGGGACTGGTCCTAGTAGACACACCTGGCCTCCCGCCCGCCCCGCTCCGCACTTGGAGTTGGCTCAGGCCATTTCCTAAGCTTCACCTGGAATCACCTGCCTCTCCTGCGCCAGAACTTGTCCGTCTGCCGAGCCAGAGGTTCCAGGTGGCCCAGAGCACTGTGCCATTCACACCAGCCGGTCAAGGAGCCCTGCCCTCTGTCGTCCCAGAGCTGCCCGCAGCCCATCGGGAGTCTGCACCAGCTGCCGCGGGGCTGGGGACCCGGGGAAGCAGAGCAGTCCCTCGGCCCAGCACCCCAGAGCGGCAGCCCTGGAGGAGGGAGCGGCAGGCTGGGGCCTGGTGACTCTGGAGCGAGTGGCTGCGGGAGGGAGAACTCGGGGAGCAAGCCAGGAAGAAGGAAACTGAGGCGCTCTCTCTGAATATTCAGCCTTCCCCACATAACCTCTTGCTTCGGGAAAGCCAAACAGCTTCCAGAGACAAAGCCGGGGGTATTGAAAGGGAGCGCAGCTGGGAAGCCGCGTGGATTGGCCGGGTTTGGCCTCCTGCTGGTCCCAGGGCTAACACAGCCTGAGATCTGAACTCTCAGGAATGTCCCGCCTGACCCCGAGTCACAGACCATAGCCCACACTGGGATCCGGGCGGCACCAAACGGGACATAAAGGGGCTTTTGGAAATGACAGACTAGGAAGCAGCTTCATTTAAGAAATATCTACATGCGCAAGAAAGCGAAGAGCTCGCACTTGGCTACAAGCAGCCCCGGAGAGGGGTAAACCTCTCAGAGCCGAGTGCACCCCGTTTTCTTTGCCTGCCTGTCTCCTGCTACTCCTGGCTGCCTTGTGCTTCTTCGATTCATCTGAAGCCAGAAACCCAATGGCCCAGTCCTTTTAGGAGCACCCCTTTGCAGAGCGGCTGGGAGACCCCGAGGGTGGTACCACCACCAAGGAATGTCACGCAGCACATTTTTAAGTATTCTGAACAAACCCCCTCATCATCTCTCCTCTCTGCATGGCTGATCCTTGCAGACCTACCGGGCTGTGGGGCAGGGGTTTGATTGTCCATGCTGTGTGTCTGGGGCATGGAAGCAGGCAATGGAATTAAACAGTGAATAGCACACGTGGCCTCAGTGTGCAAAAAAGGGAACAAGTGTGTGAAGGTGTCCCTGCTTTGCTCCAGAAAACTGGGGGATTCTACCCTGACTGGGTTTGGTTTCCATGACATGGATGTCTCATTTTAGATGGCAGACACAGTCACCACGGGCAGAGTGCCCCCTCATAGTGTGGCCCTGCAGAGGCCACAGCTAACCAGAGCCACAGCCCAGGCCATGTGTCACTGCCCTGACAGGATGCTCCCCGGGAGCCATGCCCTGGGGAGCAAAGGCTCGGGGTGGGGGGGTGAGAAGACCCCACGGAGCTGTGCTCTTGCTAGAAGTTGGGGTGGGGGCCCTCCCGGGCCTCCTACACCTGTGGGAAGGGGCGGCTGTCCCCCCGTGGGAAGCAATACCTCCCAGCTCCAACTGCAGCAGCCGGGAAGATCTGCCAGCCAACCAGGAATGGCACCTAAGCCATAACCCAGGCGATGGCTGCTCTCAGCTTGCTGCCTGGGCCAGAAGCATGCGCTGGGGTGGGGGGCAGGGGGTGTGCAGAGAGAAAGCACTTGGTCCATAGGTGACAGAAGACAGCAGAGGGCAGAAGAGGCCAATGCCTTGCTGAGGGGCCAAGCGGGCCTGGGGCTGCGGCTGTAGGTGCACCCCAGTGGCGGCCTCCCAGCTCACCTGGTCTTTCCATCCACTGTGCCTGCAGGGGCTCCTCCTCCATGAGGCCTGGGGAGGAGTGGCCCAGCCGCAGTCTGGGGAGGGTCCAGGCCACGCTCATTAAGTCTCCGTGGGTGGCGTCACCCTGAGGAGAAGGGCGGAGGCACGCAGGGACTTGGAGTGCTGTGCCGTGCCTAGGCAGGGACGAGGGTCCAGGGGCAGAGTGGCGAGGCAGTAATTACAGGGGACACCCTGCTCAAGACACAGGGGAGGGGAAGCTGGCTAGGACACCCGGGTGGCTTTGTTGGCACTATTCCTGGCCTGGTAATTAGGCGCTTGGCAAACCCAACCTGTGTCCCGGCTGTCTCTCTCACACCCTGTCTTCCGGCTGTGCCGCTGCTCCGAGGGCCAGGAGGTTGCCAGTGAAGGAAGGGGGCTCCCCCTCGCGAGCCCAGGGAGCCCCACCGCTGGTTTCGGAGATGCCGGCGCGCCTGGGAGCGTCGGGGGACCGAGGGTTCCGTATTGCACTTGACCGTCCCCTTCTGCACAGTCCGCCCCAGCGCAGGAGTCATTTGCTGCCCCATGTCCAGAAACAAGAGTCACTACTCAGACCACCCGGATGAAATGTCGTGGCAAACTCGATTAAAAAAAAAATAAAACCAGGAGGGAGCGAAATTGACACGGAGGTGGGGGAAGGAGGACCCAAAAGGCACTGCGCATGCTTGGCAGGGCGGGAAGCGCAGCGTGGTTTCAAGGGGACAGCTTCAGGCTCCTCGGAAGCCGGTGTCGCCCAGTCCGCAGGCCAGGTTCTCCGAGGCCTTTCAAGAAACAGGATTTGCTTGCAAGACGCAGGAGAGGGAGGCCCCGTGGCCTCCCAGAGACTGACCACGTCCCCACCTCCGCCCCGTGCCGCCCCAGCCGGGGTCCCAGCTGTCCAGCAGAGCCGGGCAGCTCCCCAGCAGAGCCCACTCTGGTCCTCGCGGCCCCAGAGGCTTCAAGGTGCTGGTCCCTGGGGAGGCGGTGGTGCTGAGGGCCCCTCTGGAGCTGGCGGGAGAGGCGGCTGGGTTACAGGGCCAGCAGAGTCGGGGAGTTCAAGGAGTCCGAGGACTGGTCCCCGCTACTACTGCTCCTGCGGTGCGCCTTGGAGCAGGACTCGGAGGGCGATGCGGGCGACTCCTGCTCCAGGACGCTGGGGTAGGTGAAGACGAGGTTCGAAGTGCCCGGGGTGATGGCGGGAGTGGAGGTCACCACGATGGGGGTGTGCAGGGGCTCCTCGCCGTAGAAGCCCCCCGCGATGCTGATGGGCTTGATGACCGAGCGCTGGGCCTTGTCCAGCCCCGCCGCAGACGACGAGGGGCTGTCCTCTTCCAGGGGCTCTTGCTTCACCACCACGGCGCCCACCGCGCCGCCCCCACTGCGCATGGGCGGCAGTGCGGTGGCGGGGGGCGAGCGGCGCTCCTCCGGGCTCACCTTGCACACTGGGCCGTGGGCCACCAACATGAACTCCAGCCTCTCTTTCTCCTTCTGCAGCTCGGCGATCTCTTTCTGCAGGCCTGACTTCTCCTCCTCCAACTCCTCTGTCTCCTGGGGGTGGGGGAGGGAGAGAGAGAGGTGAGAGACAGCACCCTAGGGCCCCGGGGGCTGGGGGGGCCACGGAGGGAAACCCAGCCAGCTCACACCTCTGGCCACAGACCCCGCTGGTTGTGAGTCACGTGGAGGCTCAGATTCCCTTTAATTCCGCAGGAGCAAAGCCTGCTGGGAGGAGGGGTGAACCTACAGTTGTGGCTGTTGTCACGGCATCAGGCACAGCATTGAGCATTTCAGGGAGTTTCATCCAGTGCTCCCGTAGTCTTTGGAAGTTCGTGTTATCATCAACCCATTTCACAGAGGGGAACACCGAGGCTCAGGGAGGTTTAGTGATCTACCCAAGGTAGCAGGTAGGGCAGCCCAGATCTGAGTCCCAGTGTCTGAGCCCAGGGTCCATGCAGGAAGGAAGCCAGCATTCAGCCCTGCCTGTCTCCTCTACGGCTGCCTCGAGCCCATGCCCGCTCACCAGGGACACACTCAGCGGCATGGGGGAGCGGGCGTCATCCTGCCTACTCCTGTCCCACAGAGCCTAGGCAGTGCCCGGCTTCTGAGAACTGCTCAGCCAGGGCCAGCATCGTGGCCCCGCAGGTTAAGCCACTGCCTGCGATGCCAGCATCCCCCACCAGAGCACTGGTTCAAGTCCCCGGCTGCTCTGCTTCCACTCCGGCTCCCTGCTAATGCGCCTGGGAAAGCAGCAGAAGATGGCCCAAGTGCTTGGGCCCCTGCACTCACGTGGGAGACCCAGATGGGAGTTCCAGGCTCCTGGCTTTGGACTAGCGCAGCCCCAGCCACTGTGGCCATTTGGGGAATGAACCAGTGGAAGGACGACCTCAATTTCTTTCAAATAAATAAGCAATTATAAAAGGAGGGGGCTCAGCCAGTGCCTGGGGGAATCTGTACAGCCCCTCCTCTATTTTTGCTGTAGCTTCCGACAGGCTTCGAGGGACTGTGAGGATGCCAGAGTCACGGCCAGGACTCCAGCCCCCTTCTTTCACACAAACCAGGGAAGCAGACGCCAGCCAGTGCACGTGGCGGGCGGCGGTGGGAGGGGAGCAGGTGTGTGTCCCCGGCCTCCTGCCCACTTTTTCCCTAGCGTGGATTCCTGCTCACAGATGAGGCGGCGCGGGCAAGAGCTCCGCGAGCCAGAGCACAGCATATTCCGGAGTGAAAAAAAAAGTTTCCATTGGTCTCAAGGGTCTGACAAATGTCATGTGCCGCTGAGAGGCTTCCTGTGGAGGATGTGGCTCAGGGGCCTAGGTGGCTGGGGCAGGGCGTGGGGGGGGGGGGCGTGGGGAGGGGAGGGTGTGTGGCTCCCAGGAGGAGGGGAGGGTGCAGGAGAGGGCCCTGGGCAGCGGAGGGGGCAGGACTCATCTGGAGCTGGTGGTCCGAAGAGCCCTCGCGGACACACGGGGCCGGGGGAAGGTCAGGGGCATGGGGAGGGCTTCGCCTGTGCAGAGCGAATCCCGGGGCGGGGGGTGGACACCTGTCCTGGGGACAGAGCACAGAGCTCACAGAGCTCACACAGCACACAGCCAACACCCAGGGGCCAGGCTGCAGGATGGACAGGGAAGTGCCGGCAGTGAGGTCTCCCTGGCCCTATCCTGGCCGGTCACCGGGAGGGAGGACACAGGCTGACTGCCTCTCTCAGCTCCTCCCCAGGTCCAGGCAGTTGGGCAGCAGGGGTGACTCACAAGGGCAGAATGAAGTACCAAGGGCATGGCTCCAGCTTCATTCATGAAAGAGGAGGACATGGGAAAACCCTAAGAAAATACAACTTGGCCGCCACAGGTTCCATCAAGGGCCTCCACCCCCACCTAAACCAGAGGGCTTGAGCCAGAGTGTGCCACCCTTGCTGGCAACAGGTACTGGGGTGGCTGGGGCCTTGGGAAGTAGCCCTGGAGGGGGCAGGCCTGGACTTGCCCTGGCTCCCAGGGACTGGTGATACCAGCACCCTCTGCCATGCCCTTCCCAGAAGCCCCTGCAGTTCTGGGAGCAGGAGACCTCAGGCCTCAGTGGAGAAGGTGTGAGCCCAGGAAGGCTGTCCAGTTCTCTCGAGGCCCAACCACTGGCCAAGACCAGATTTCTGTTCAATCAGCCCAGCACTGACCCATGTGCTCAAAGGAAGGAATGTTCTATCTCCAGTGAGTCATCCGTGGGGCACTTGTGCGCAAGGCGAGGGCTGGGAGGCCGGCACCCTGGGGCTCCAGCCCACCCAAGGTGCTCCCACCCCACCCCCCAGAGCTTCTCACCGCCTGCAGCTTCTCTGTCAGCTCCCGGCGTCGGTTCCGGCACTTAGCTGCGGCCAACTTGTTCCTCTCCCTGCGGATCCGACGCTTCTCTTCCTCTTCAGGGGACAGCTAGAGGCCAAGGTCAAGGACCACGATTAGAGTGGGATAAATGTTCCATGGTATTTAAAAAAACAGAACCATACCTGGGTCTATTGTGGAAAAACCACGCAGGGATTTCAGAGTTATTTGCACCCAAACAAACCTATGTTTTCATTTCATTTTTCCACGAACTTTTTGAAATCCCCTTATAGTTTTAAGTCAGGCAAGAAGCCCTTCCAGAACTTCGGAGGGCAGAAAGAGGGTGCCAGGCTCACAGGTCCTGCAGTCTGGCTGCCTGGGGCTGGGGTGGGGGTGGGGAGGGGGTCCGTGACCGGAATCTGCCCAGGAGGGTGATGGGCCGTGTTTTAAGGGGGGACAGGGCAGCAATAGGGGGGTCAGGGACTCACAGGCCCAGACAGAATGGCAGCAGGTGTCACGCCAGCCTTGATCCTGAGACAAGGAGCCAGAATGCTTCCCTGGGTCCCCTCCAGCTCTCCCAGCTGCCCCCCACCCCGCCCCAGCACGCAGCTTTATCCAAACCCAGCTAATTACTCCTCCGCAGCACTCCGCCTGCTCTGGGAAGCCTCATTATCCCCATTTGGTTAAAGAGCTGGGCCCCAGAGTCCCCACACAGGTAAGAGCTGCCGGGGGTGGGGGGGTGGCGTACTGCTCCAGCTCTCGACTTCCTCTGCCAGCCCTGGGGTGCCAGCTGCTCTCCATTCACCCTCGGACCCCTGGGTGTACCTGGCACAGTGTTAGGCTGGACAGGATGTGCAAGAGAGGGAGGATCCCCCAAGTGTTAAATCGTGCTGCCACCACATCCATTCATGCAACAGACACAGTTCTAGGGGCTGGGAATTTACGTTTGAACCAAAGCAAGATTCGCTAACAGCTTTGGGCCAGCTCCTTGCAAGGAGGCCGGTTAGGGGACTCCAAACTCAGCCCCCAAGGCAAGAGCTCAGAGGGGTGCTTCTAGAGCTGTGACCTCAAAGTCCCCGGCAGGCAGAGGTGACACAAGGAAATGGCTGTGGGCCTAAGCAGAAAGCCAGGCCAAAGGAAAGAGCACCCCGTGTAGTCACCAGACACTGACCGCACACCTACTTTGTGCTGTAGGGGGAGCTTAGATCCCAGGAGGAGTAAGACCTGGGTCCCACCTCAAAGGACACACCGGGGGGAAAGCTAGAGGCACTGTCAAGGCTGGGCCCAGGCCCAAGTGCCCGCTCCCTGCAGCTCTGCAGTCTGTGGCTGCCATGCCCTGAATAGCAGAGCAGGGCACAGCATCAAAGAGGACCGTCCCTCGTACGTCTGCCCTGACCCATGGCCCAGCTGAGGTCACGGGGCCACTTGGCCAGGCCCTGAACACTTGCTGAGCCTAAACCTGTCCAACGGGCGCCCACGGGAGTCACCGGCAGAGCCGAGTGGCCTTGCAGAGGGCTGGGTGGGGGGCCCCCGCAGGCCCAGGCAGCCCTGCAGAGCCCTGACTCAGGAGCAGAAAAGAAGGGCCGGCCCTGGTCCACCTGCAGCCCTCCTTCCCCCGGGGCTGCGTCCGGACAGCTCTGCCCAGCGCCCACCTGGCCTGGAGGTGTCTCCCCAGTGACATAGGAAAGAGGGGGGGCAGCGAGATCAGCGTGGCTGCAGCCCGAGTGTGTCAGCACCGCTGCAGACCCACCCACAAACCACACACGCCCTCCTCTCCCAGCCCTGGGAGGCCCCGCCCCAGGGCGAGGTGGGGAAGGAGGAAGTTGCAGAGAAAGGACCTGAGGGCCAGGACCCGAGTCCCCAAGGCTCTGGGACGCCACGCTAGGCGTCCTTAAAGCTTCCGGGTGATCGTCCCAACTCCTAGTGGATGGGGATAAAATGCCCTCTCCCTCCCTCCCAAGAAAGGAAGGAAACTCTCCAGACAGATTGTATTAGGGCACGCCTCAGCGGTGTGGTAGGGAAACCACGGGGCTGGAAGACAGAAGAGGTGGATTCCAGTCCTGCCGCAGCTGCCAGCTCACCGTGCCACTCTGGACAGGACCCTGCTGCTTCGGGGGCCTCAGTGTCCATATCTACACAATGGGTGCAGGGAGGAAAATTACAGGAGATGGGCTCCAAGTCCCTTCCAAATCCAAATTTCCAAAGAGAAGGCAGAGGGTTCGGGGCCTCCTGCTAGCTCACAAGAGGCCCTTAGAAGCCTGGCTCTACCTCCGGCGGAGTCACTAGAAAGCTTCGCACCTGGAGGAAGCATATTTATAAGGGCACCACGGTCACTGCTCCTGCAGTATTTGTCACTGCGATTTCAGAAGGCGACAGTGAGGGGCTGCTAGACTCTCCCTGGGCAGGAACAGAGCAAGCCCACGTGCAGTGGACACAAGGCCCAGCTTAGTCCTGGGAGGAGCAGGGCTGACAGAGCGCCCGGTTCCTGGCAGCAGCCGTCCCTGTAACTCTAGGTTTCCTGGACACTACTGGCTCTGGTGCTCCCATTATCCACCGGGAGCCCAGGGTGGAGATGGACAGGGGTTGAAACGGTAGGGGCTTCTCACACTGAACTACGGTGGTTCTCGAGGGCCAATCACGTTTCATTTCAAGGGGGATCCCACTGCTAAAATATGTTCCCTTCCCTGAGCCCACATGGTATGGCCTTGCAGGGAGAGCACTGCACAGGGAGTCCTGGGAACCAGGTTTCCCTCCAGACTCCCACACTTGTTGGCCAGCGGAGTGCAAGCAGCTACGGGCCTGAGCCTGGGCTGCATCGTTTATGAAGGGGACAGCCAGGGGCCTTAAAGGCCTCGCTCCCTCCTTGGTGGAGTCACACACAAGTCTGGCTGCGGTTTCTGGGGCCCAGAGGCTCGGCTGCTATGGATCCCCGTGGAGACAGACAGCCCGTTGCCTTCTGAGTGATGGTGGGTGCTGTCGAAAGGGCAGAGGCCCCGCCATGCTCTGGCTTCCCTCCCAGCCAGATTAACTCCTTGTCCAAGCTAAGCCCCTCTGGAAAAGGAAGGGCTGCCATCCAACCCCTCCCTCCCCCTGGCCTGCCAGCTAGAGCGGCTGGATGGATTCCTACGGCCCCAGAGGCCATGGATTTCAGTCCCCGAATTCCAGACACTTGAAAGGGGCTCCTGCTTCAAGTCACAAGCCTGGGACCCTGAGGAAGAACATGGGAGCCTGGGAGCCTGGGAGCAGAACCAGCCCAGGGTCTGACCCCGTGAGTCTGTGGGGTGGCTCGCCTGCGCCAGACGCCAGAGGCAGCTGAGGGCCAGTCCAGAAGTGCCCCAGCCAGGGTTCACGGGCTGCTTCCAGCACGGCCCCTCTGCCAAGGACCAGCGACATTCTCACTGCGGGACACCTTACACGTGCAACGTGCTCATGGTCACACGGGAGCAGCAGGGACCCGGAACCCACTTTTTCAGAGAAGGAAATGCAGACTCAGAGACTCAAAGGGACACGGGTGAGATGACAGGGCAGGCCCGACTCCCGGGCCTCCAGATCCGACTGCAAGGACGATCCTCATCCCCTGGGCTGCCTGGTGCTTCCAGAACTTTCACCCCGCTACCACCCATCTGCAGAAGAACATTCCGCATTCATGAGCCCCCTCCTGCCTGCCGGCGAAGCTGTACCTGCTCATCTCTCCTCCTGCGGCCCACGGTGGTGCCAATGGTCTTGATCACGCCGGGTCTCGGGAGGGCCATGTGTCCGGGGACCGAGGCCAAGCCCGGCAGGGGGCTGTAGGGGTGCGAGCGAGGGTAGGGGTTGGACATGGAGGTGATCACCGTGGGCTGCACCATCCACTGCAGGTCCTGGCTGGTGGTGATGGCGTTGATGGTGGGGATGAAGGCACTGCCCGAGCCAGGCATATCTACCCGGAACTTCTGCAACAGGAACAAAAAAATAGGATTGAGCCACCAGATACTGAGCAGGCCAGGAGAAGAAAAGCCCACAGGAAGCATGGTCAGTGCCGAGTGGGCAAGGCCAGGAGCCCAGGGAGCTTCCCTGGACAAGTCCTGCATCAGTCTGGCACGTCCACGAGTCAAGGGGACCTTAACGGTTCCTGGCACCTCCTGTCCGATCCTCTCCTGGACCACAGTCCTGTGGACGCTGTTGCCAGGTGGCTCAGTGAGGATGCCACCATACCGCGGCTGACTTCTGGGACACATCGCTCCCTAGCCGCTTGCCCCCAGCAGGCCCTCTCGAAGCCCACCAGAATGTACACCTGCAAAATGAGGCCCTTGGGCCTGAGTCACCTGCCCATTGGTCCCAGGACACCGGCTCAGGACACCTTGAGATTCTCACGCTGGCTACTGAGGAGCAACCAAGTTCACTGAGGAGCAACCAAGTTCACCAAGGAGCAAACCAGCTGCTTTTGTCCCCTTTGAAAGGGTCAAGGAGGGGCTATGGCCCCTTGTGGGCAAGGCGGAGTCTGTGAAAAGGTACCCTCTATCCGACGAGACTAGAAGGTACTGGCATTGGCAGGCTGGCGCTGCCCCTTCACTGGCGCCTCGCCTGGGGCAGCCGGGCTGCGTCTGTCTCACCACCTCTCTGCAGCTCTGTCTGTCCGCACTCCCAGATGTGGCTGTGGGAAACTGCGGTGCTGCGAGTCCAGAACTTTCTCCCTGTCCCTTAATTCCTGCTCAGACCACGCTGCAGAGCTCTGTGGAGCACACACAGGGCAGGAAGCAATCTATTTAAAATATAAGATGATGACAGAGTACAAAACTAAAACGGGCCGTGCTCCTCGGCACTGGGCTTGACCTTTCTCCGAGGCAGCTACCGGAAAGTGAGAGAAGGGGGAAGAAGGGAAGCCCCCCCTCCCGCCCAGCTCTTCAGGGAGAAGCCCCCCTAGGAAGCCAGGTGAGCCCTCCTCCTCCGATGATTCCTTTGTTACTGGCTAACCTGGATTATCTCACTAATTCTCCCTCTGAGGTAAGAACGATCACTATCTCCATTTTAGAGGCTGAAATTGAGGCTTAGATTAAGTAACTTATCAAGGCCACACTGCGAATAAGCACGGGGCTCAGGACTCAAACCCAGTTCATCCTGACAAAGGGCAAGCACGGAGCGACAGGTCGCCCCTGCCAAGGGGGCCCCACGGGCTGCCCCCAGTGGAAGCCCCCGGTCATCGGCAGGAATGCCACAGTGCCCCTCCCCCATTCAGGTGTAGCAACCACAGCTGCCGCCGCCACTGGCGTCACCTCTGGTGACAGCGTCTGTGTTCCTGCCGTGTGACTAAAGTGAACCCGGACCACCTCACAGAGGCGGACAGAGCTGGGGACCCTTCCCCACTCATCCCCTGCCTCCCACCTAACTCCACTCTGGGCAGTGGGATGTGGCTGCCTCACCTCCCAGAATGCTGTGGGGCCTCCAGTCAGGGGCATTCAGTGGAAAGAGCTGACAGGCACCATGAATTCTGGGATTCCAGGAGGAAAGTTATCCCAGACAATAGATTCTGGGAATTCCGTGAGGAGAGCTGCCCAGAGCAATGGCTTCTGGGATTCTGTGAAGGAGGTTACCCAGGGCAATGGATTCTGGGATTCTATAGGGAGACCTAGTTGCTCAGAGCAATGGATTCTGGGATTCCATGAGGAAGGTTACCTACTGCAATGGATTCTGGGATTCTCTGAAGGAGGTTAGCCAGGGCACTGGATTCTGGGGTTCTGCGAGGAGCACTGCCCCTCTGAATGCCAAGACAGCCGGGCTTTTTCCCAGGAGCTGACTGAAAGGTGGCAGCCGGGCGTGGGCCTGAGCACGTGAAGGGGGGTAGGCTGCTGCAGACAAGGAAGGGCCCGAGCGGGAAATAACCTTCCCGGAGAAGCGCAAGAGCGAGCCTGGGCGGTGAGGGGGCTGGGGCGCGCAGAGCAGCCAGGAGCCGGCACCGCCCTGCAGCCAGGAGGCTGGGTCTGAGCCTGGTCTGGCTTAGCCATCAACTGCTTCGCCCTGGGCAAACCACTGAAGACTCCATTTCGGGATGGCAGGGGCGGTCCTAACTGGGAGCTGTCAGCACGCTGCGTTGAGGATTAAATGAGCAGCTACTTGTAATCACAGGCCCGGGAGCGCACAGGTGGGTGTCGCCCTGGCAGTGCCCTAAACTGTTCCCAGGAGCTTGTTAAAAAAAAAAAAATCATGTTGGAGTTTTGCCATTACAATTCCAAGATAACCCATTTGGGACGGCGTTCGGATCAAGGTATTTTTAAAAACTCACAAGGAGATTCTAATGGGCAGCCAGGGTGGAGAAGGCGGCACCGCCACCGTCATCGTCGCCACCAGCAGCGGCCTCGTCATTACACGGCCTGCCTATGCAGTGTGGGTGGCACAGGGACACTCACCAGCCTCCCACTCCTGGGGCGCTCCAGCTCCTTCACCCCGCTTCTCTCCAGCCCAAGCCAGGGTCTGATTCGGAGTACACCACAGCTACCCAGCACAATGGCGTCGTGGGACTCCACCACCATGGGGCTGCTGACAGCTGCACCTGGGGAAATGCACCCCTCATTCCAACTAATAAACTAACAACTTCCCATGGCAGCTTGGAGAAGCAAGCAAAAAACCTGGGGCGAAGCTGGGAGGTTGAAACCCTTTGGGGCTAAGTGGGTGCCCCTCGGCCCACAACGTGCTCCGCAGCACACACCAGCCAGGTTCCTTGCAGCCATGGCTTGGTCTAGACAAAACAAGACAGCAATAAAAACAAGGCAGGAGGTAATGACTGCCTCGGAAACTTGCACGCAGGCACGCACACCTTGTTTCAGACAGGAGGTAAAGCCATCTGGATAATGCAGCCACTCCATGCTGCAAGGAAAACAATGGCCCAGCCGCAGAGGGGCCTGGGGCTCTGATAAAGGAGGCTTTTGTCTCTGAGAGGAGCCTGCCAAGTCCCAGTTACATCAGGTGGTGGGTCTTGCCCGCACCCAGAAGGTATCCAGAGCGCCACACCGGGGTAGGAGAGAAGAGGTGGGGCTAGGAGTCTGGGGTCCCAGCAGTGAGCCTGGCCTCCTGCCACACCAACAGGCCCAGGAACCAGCCACAGGTCCTCACTGCCTTTTTAGGAACCAGAGACCACCAAGCAGTAGGCAAGAGACAGCGGCCCAGCTGCGGGCAGTAGGGCTGTGTGTTTTAACACCGCCGCTGCAGTGCCAGGGGTGTGTTGGGAGTGAGGGGGCATGCGGAGGTAACCCAGGACCTGCCTGGCTTCCCTCTGGCTTCTGGGTGGCCTTGCAGCCCGGCAGCTTCTGTGAGCTTTTGTTTCGCTGTGTCACCCTGGTGACTTCTGGGTGGGCAAGAATGCCTATAAAAGGACAAAGTGGCCCCCACGGGCCTTCCAGAGCAGAGTTTGTCAAACATGTGCTAGAAAGGGCCAGACAGCAAATATTTTAGGCTCTGGGGGTCTCTGTCGCAACTCAGCTCTGCTGGTGGAATGTGAAAGCCGCCCCAGAGGGGAGGGAAGCGGTGGGCGTGCCTGGGAGCTGTGACACACTCCAAAAACGCCCCAGTCTGCCGACCCCTGACCTTAAGCAGCAGTCAACTCCAGTGCTCAGGTTGCAGGGGACGGGATCGGAGAGAAAAGAAGAAAGGCAAAACTCAGACCGGAGACAGTCTCCGTGCCCGGGGCCAAGGGAAGCGGCTCTCACGCGTCAGCTTGGGTCTCTGAACCCTGAGCTGAAGGTCAAGCCCATGCGAGCCTTGCCGTGGGTCTTTGGGAACCCGGGATCTCCCTAAGGTGCCGTGGAGCTGTCCTGTCAGCGCCTGGCTGCTCTCATCCATGGCCCCGGAGATAGACGGCCAGGGACAGAGGACCGACTGCAGCACGCCAGCCAGAGCCCGCGGCCCAGCAGTTGCTGATGGCAGAAAAGATTCTTTCAAGACAAGTGCAGGGCCCTGGATTTAGAAATGAGGCTCTCGCCTGGGCCTCCGGCCACAGGGTGTCAGACAGAGGGTCCGTGCCCCCACCTCCCACAAGGCCGCAGGGCAGACAGCTGCTCCAGAGGCTGTTGAGCTGAGTTGGAGGTGACGGCTGGCGGTCCCGGCCCGCCCCTCTGCCGGGCACTTCTCCACCGCAGTGATGCCTGCAAGCCAGGAGTCCCGGAGGACTCTGGGCCCCGCCTCACCAGGCAAGCAGGTCTGCCTGTGCGTGTCCAGGGAAGCACTGGCAGCTTTTTCAGAACCCCTGCTTTCGAGTCCCATGATGGGAAAAGGAAAATTCCAACAGCAACCCAGACGATGACCTCGGGGGAAGACACAAGGCCAGGGTCAAGGCTGCCTCCGCCCATGACCTCCCCGCGGAGGTGCAGTGAGGGCTCCCTCCACTCGTCTGATGAACAGGGGCCACTGTGGCCCAAAGCCCTCATCAGGCAGGCCAACCAGTCCTCACGGACTGCCCCGGACGGCCCTCGGCTCCTCTCCGAGGGAACGCCACGCCCGTCGGGGTGGAAACGTGGCTGCGCACCCAACCGTTCCCCAGAGCTCGCAGCATTACAAGCACCACAGCGGGTGCCCTGCCTCCCCCAGCCTCTTCTCAACGACACCAGCCTCCCTCTCTCGTGGGCTGCAGGAAAGCAGGGGAGACGAGACAGACCCAGGAGAAGATTTTGTGTCTTCTCTCTGGGGCCCAGGGGGCCGGGGTGGGGGTGGCACAGGCAGCTTCGCTTCAGTCGGGGCCGCTGCCAGTATTTTGAAACGTGGTGGCCACCAAAGTTATCACACACAGCTCGGGAGAGACCTGCCCGCACTGCTTCTCCCTTTTTCTTATGTTTCATAAGCCAGGGTGTGAGCGTTCTCAAAACCAGCATCTTTATTTCTGTTTTCACAGACAGAAAAAGAATCCGAGGCATAGGTATGTGCTGGCCCCGAAGGTGGCAGCTATGGGGCGCTCTGTCCCGGGGGACATTCTCCCGGCAGACTCCAGGACTCCGAGTCACATAGCTACCTTGGATCCAGCCTGACCACCCAGACTTTTTATGTCATGGCTTCCAAAGAGCTTTTGGTGAGGTCCAAATATCAAACTCACCCTTCAGAGGACAAAGATTCCTCACGAGGAAGATTTTCAGAAGAAATTCTAGAGAGCCATTCAACGAGAAGCCTCGCGGAGCCTCCCGGACCTGACCCACGGCCGCGGCCGCGTAGGCTTTGTCAGGGCCAGCAGTGATTAGGATGTGTTAGTTCCAGGGCGCTGCTATGACAGTGGAGAGGAAGAGGCAGACACCCCAGCTTCCCAGCCAGTCACCCTGAAGAATGAGACGGGCAGGAATACTCACACAGGAGTGGAAATGCATGCGGGGCCCGGCATAGGAACATTCAGCGGCCACTCAGACAATACTTGACTGCTGTTTCACCCCATTCACTTTGATGAAAAAGTGGAGCTGACTTCCACCACCAAGAATCAGCGGAACAGACAAATTCCTGGGATAACATTTTGTTTGATCCTAATCTACAACATCTGTCAGATCAAGGCAAAAGAAAAGAAAGCACCCAGACCCTTACTCTACACCCCCACCTCCCCTCCAGCTCTATATGACACCCCCTCCCCAACACAAACACATCAAGAAAACAAGCCTTGGGAATTTGAAAACATCGTGCTGGCATCCTAGGGAACACACAGACACCAATGGAGGGAAAGAAAAAAAGCACTCCTGTTTCAATCTGGTTTTATTTAGAGCAAAACAAAACAAAACAAGAAACTCATTTTGGAGTCATGAAGTTCCTAGTTGGCCACTGTTCCATAGATGGCATTTATTTGTCCCTAATTGAAAAGAAAAAAAAAAAATATCCTAAGAATTCTGAAAACGAACCAAGTGAACACTCTGGGGCTGGAAAAATACATCCCCGAGAGAGTGCTTCTGAAAACCTCCTGTAGGGGGCACTAGAGAGGTGTGAGTGAGGCTGGCTTGGGAATGGCAGTCATTTCTGGTAAAAGTTCTTTGATGTGAGGAATGTCCCAGCCTGGTACAGTTGGCAAAAGTTCACTCCGGGGAATTTTGTGTGTGTGTGCGCGTGTGTGTGTGTGCGTGTGTGTCTGTCTTGGGAAAGGGTGGTTAAGGAAGAAGAGAGTAGTCTGCTATTCCTTGGTTCCAAAAAGGAAACAGCACCCTCTTTCCCCCTTGATTTATTTTCGCAAGTTATCTGAGAAACAGACAAATAGCAGCCTTGGAAAAGTTCTGGGTCTTGTTTTTGTTTTGCTTTTTCATTAAGAGGGGGCCCAGCTGATGAAAACACGTTATGAAATGACCTGTGTTTGTGTAACCGGCTGGATTGCGTAATGCCCAGGCCCTGACTCCACAACCGTCCAGCAGCTGAGCAGGGCATATATCTGGGAGGTGTTTTCCTAGGAAAGTTAGGAGCGAGACAACAACAACAAAAAGAAAAAGGCCGGGAGGGGGAGGTGTGTGCCACCAGGACCGACAGAACAAAATCACCAATGACCACGCTTTGAGATTAAAACTACAACTGGAACAGGAAATATTTTTCATGCTTTAAGTTCCTGCCATCTACAAGAACAGAAGCTTTAACAAAGAGTTGTCTGCTCCCTCCCACCCTGCCCCCAACCCCACTGGCTTTGGAAGTCACGGCCATGTGTGAAGATCCAGCCTTGGGTAGCTACGGGGGAGAGGGAAGCAACAGACTTATGGGGAAGACTGCAGCCCTCCCAGAGAGACACCTGGGGAAAACCAATATGCACTTGTTCAAGGAGAAAAACCAGAGCAGTGTCTTGGGCTGACTGGTCCCTGGTGATGCCATAAAGCAGCAAGGCCCATCTACTGCCAGAAAGTCTCCCAGTAAAGGAAGCTGAGAGAAATAAAGTGATTATAGGTTTTATCTGGTGTATAATAAAGTTACCTGGAGCCTGGGATCGGGTGGGGTCATGGTACAGACCTGCTAAGTAACAAAGGCCTCTGAGGTCAGCCCTTGGGACCACAGAATTCTGTTCAAAGTGGGGCGACCATGGAAAAGTCCTCCCCTGCCCACAACCGCCAAGCGCCAAGGAGCGGCGGACTGAGAAACTCAGCCGAAGCAGCATTCCCTTGCCAAGGCTCTGGTCTGAAACACGCCTCGCTCCCGCTGCCGGGCCCATCGGGCAGGCGTCTGAGAACCCCGTGCACTGGTTGTTGCTAATTGCAAAATCCTCATGTGTTACAGCATGCCAGGAATTAGCCAACAGCTGCTTTTTGCTTCGGTAATGAGGCCCCATTACACTGCTGGACGGACTTCTCTTCCTTCTTCCTAGCACTGGTTTCCTGTCTGATTTTCTTCCAAAACAGGGAATCGCCTCGGCTCACATCCTGGGCTCGAAGCCCTAGTGACACAGATTACTCAGTTGGGGCACTGATGTCCGGTCTGACTTCCCATCCAGGCCCCGGGGTCTGAGCGAGGCCAGGCAGCGAGACAGGCTGTAATATTTCAATGATCGCTGGCACCCATGTGTTGGCCAAAGGGACAGAGAAGCAACCTGAAGACCTCTTCCTGATTCGGGGAGCGGGAGGTGAGGAGGGGGCTGTTGGGGGTCCTGTTGACCGGGAGTGAGGGACTGGGCATATAAATGGCCCCAGTCCCTAATGATATTTGAACTCAACAACAACCCAGGGAGTTGGGAAGCAAACTTAACCAACAATCTTTCAGATAAAATGTTCCATGAATTACCTTGGTGTACCCTCAATGATTATGGGTGCCTATGGGGAACCTGGAAAGAACCCAGAAAAGCCATTTGGGGGACTCAGCAGGTCTGAGGAATCGCTTTGGGACGAGGGAGCCCTCCTCTGATCCAGAAGAGAGCCCTGTTCCCACTCTACCTTCCCCGCTCCGCTCCCCCCTCCCTGCACACCCACAGCAGCCCCTCCTGTCTGGCTGGCTTCAGAGGCGGAGGCCAATGCCCCGGCCTTACCCAGCGACTCCTGCTGCAGCCAACTTGGCTAGGGACTCCACAGACGCCGACCAAAGTGGCTTCAAGTGGCAGTGGACCTGGGAGGGGGCGTTCACCCAGCTCCCCCAAGGGACAGAGCCGGCGAGGGGGGGGGGCTGCTGCTGAGGGCAGGCTCCCCACAGGCACCCTTCTGGTATTTATAGGCACAGAACAGACACAAACCCTCCGGTGCAAACCAGTCCGGCTGCTTTAGAAACAAGTTGTTTTTCTGCTTCCCGAACCACCCAGGGTCCTAAGTGATGTCTCTTTCCCCCATCCCTCTCCACTGGCCACCTGGCTCCAGGTACCCCCAGAACCTCAAGGTGCTCCTTCCTCCCCACCCTTCCAGGGGACCGCGCGGGGCACACTTCCAATCAAAGGCGGCCTCTTCCTTCCTGATTCCCAGCGCAAACCCTCGCCTCTTGAAGGAACCCAACAACCATGTTTCTGAGTCCCCGACCTCTTGGAGAAAGGAGCTAAGTCGGATGCAGAACGGAAGACGGGAGGGAGAGGGGTTCCCCACGGGACTAGGGTCCCCGGGCGCCGCGAGCGGCCGGCGGGTGCCAAGATCTTTTCGTGGGTCCACCCTGGAGACAGAAGGGGGAAGGGGACCGGGTGTTCTTGGAAGGAGGTAACAGGTTCCCCGGGCGTGGGGGCTGCCATTCCAGGAGCCCGTCTGCGTAGCATGTGCGGTGAATGAAAGCGTTTCAAGTCCAATCTCCGCTCCAGTTTAAAATGGGGGGAGGGGGATAGGACAGGACGAAAATCCAGAACTTACAACAGTGGCCCGCACAGGTTATTTTCTCACCAAGCCGAGAAAGGGGAAAGCGAGCGACAAGGAGGCACTGGTGGTGAGAAGAGGGCGGGGGTCCGCCCGCGCCGCCAGGTGCACCCGGGGCCCGCACCTACCTGCTGGCCGCCACCGCCGCTGGAGTAGGACTCGGCGTGCGCAGGAGAGCCGCTGCTGCCCCGGGACGAGGTGTCAAAGTTCCCGGGATAATCCTGGTACATGATCCGCGGTGGGGGCCGGAGAGGAAACAGGGTGCTCTTCTTCCCCCGCCCTCGCCGCGGCCGCGCACCGGCTGCTGCGCGCTCGCTCGTCCGCCGGCCGCGCCGCGGGCTCCGCTCTCGGCTCCCGGGCTTTCAGCCCCGGCGGCGGGCGCGGACGGGGAGGCGGCGACACGCCGGGAACCGCGTCCCCCGAGCGCTTCGTACCGCACTTCTTCCCTGCTCCGAGAGCGCCGCGAGACCAGTTGTCCACACGGTCCCTCCCTCTAAAAAGTCGGCGCCGCTCTCGGTCCCTCCCCTGCGCGCGCCCTCCCGCCCCCGCGCGCAGCCGGAGCCGGGTCGGGACCCACGGCTCGCGGCAGAATCGGAAACGAACAAAGACTCGGAGCCGGGCGAGCCTCGCCTGCGGGCTCTGGGGACCTCCCCTCGATGGCAGGCAGGGCCAAAAAGACGAAAAGAAAGGCTGCCCGCCTGGAGAAACTTCTATTTCCTCCTTTGAGAGAAGGGGCCCGAGAATAAACTTCCTGTGGCCCACTTGCCGCCCGAGTTCCCGAGCGGCTCGGACACTTGACTAGCAGGAGGCGGCGTGCGCCCGTCCTGCCGCCCCGAGCGCGCCCGCGGGACAGCGGCCCGCAGGGTTCCAGGTGAGCCCGGGCCGAGAGGGACGCGGCCCCGCTCCCCCGCGCAGCCGCTCCGGCGCCCGCACCCCTGCCCCGGCGCCCGCTCCGGGACGGGCCCGCCTCGCCCGTCCGCGCCTCGCCCTCTCTCTGTCCCCGCCGAGGAGCGCCGCTCGCTCGCTCGCTCGCTCACTCGCTGGTTCGCTCGGAGCCCCTGCGCTCTGCCCGAGATGAGTCACTACAATGGCACGAGTTCAACTCCACACTCTTTATTCTCCAGCCCCTGTACCATGTGGATTCACTCACGTCAACCTTGCAGGGAGGAGCGCGCGAGGAGGCGGGGTGGGGAGGAGGCCCCCGGAGGAGGAGGCGGCGCGGGAGGGGAGAGGAGGCGGGCGCAGCGCTCCCCTCCCTGCCCCGGCTCGCGGCCGCGCTGACGCCAGCCGCACGCCCCGCGCGAGGAAGGAAGACGGTGGCGAGCGTGGGTGCGGACGGCCCGCGCGGTCTGGGGGAGCCGGGCGGCCCTGGCCTTCCCCACCCACGCCCACCCCCGGGCCCAGCGCCCTTGGACTGTTCCATTGGCGCACGTTGCCAAAGATGGTCATTTGCGTTAGAGGACGCGAGTGCGGGGTTCCTCGCTTTCGGGTGACGTGGAGGGAGAGGGATTCCCTCGCCCGCTCCCGAGCGCGCCACGGCCTCCCCCCGCCCTCCCCCACCACACCGCCCGCCCCGGGAAGGGGCGCGGGGCGGGGCCCCGGGAGCGGCCGCGCGGGACTCGGCTTCGCGTTTTGGAAAATAATCACAGCCCTGAAGACGAGACGGGCGGCTCAGTGCGGCGCCGCCGGCAGGCCGGGAGCCGGGCGCGCAGAGCCGCTCGCAGGGAGGGCGCGGTCGCGCGCGGTCGCCGGCGCCCTCCGCGGCGCCGCCCGGTGCAGCAGCCGCCCCGGGCGCGTGGGGTCCCCGCGCCGCCGGGCAGCCGGGCCTTGGCGGGGCGCGGCGCCGCCGGGCGGGGCTGGCCTGCCTGTTTTTCCCCTCGGTGGCGGGCTGCCCACTGCTTCCCTTTTTGTGCGTGTGTGCGTGTGTGTGTGTGTGTGTGTGTTTATTGTTTTGGTCCTACAATGAATTTGTTAGGAGTAACCTTGAAGACGAAGTTAACCAGTCAAGACATTCCGGCCGCCTTCCGTGCCAGGCAATTAAAATGTATCTGGCTGGAGCGATCGGTCGTTAGAGACAAACTCCAGACTGTTAGGAATTTAAAAAAAAAAAAAGAAGAAGAAGAAGAAGAAGAAGAAGAAGAAAGAAAACAGGAGAAAAGGGAGTCCAGGGAGAGGGTGTGCCCCAACGCTGTCTTCAGCTGTTTTGGAGCGAAGTTCAGGGCGCGGGTGGCCGAGCTCCCGAGTCTTCCCGCCTCGCTGGGCGGGGCGGGGCGGGGCGCAGGGTAAAGAGCGCAGGCCTCGGAGCACGCACACCCGGGTGGTGCTAGTTACAAGCTGTGAGGTCCTGGGCGAGGCCTTAACCTCTGTGGCCCTCAGTTTCCCCCTGTAAAAGGAAGGGCTTGGGGCTGATGACCCTCCCACCCCGAGCCCTGGGGTGCTGGGGAGCGCACAGCTTTCTGCAGAGACCATGCGGCGTCCCCGGAGGAGCACCGCGTTAGCCAAGAACCTGAGATTGCGGCCTAGGAAATCCACCTTTACCTCGGTTTACCCAACTCACAAGTCAGCGCCATCTGCAACCCCCGGGGTCTTCATCAGAACCAAATGGGATTATACCGAGGGTCCCCTGTGGGCTGGGAGTGGCAGCCCAGAGGCGGGCAGAGAGGCCACGGCCCTTGCCTGCTGGGAAGCGCCCTGTACCGACAACAGCACAGCTCCAGTCCTCTGCGTCCTCCTCTTCTGTAAAGTGGGAGTGGGCGAGAAAAACAGAGCCGGCTACGCCAAGCTTCCCCGGGGCTCTCTATATAAAGCGCCAGCGTTTCCGGGACGGCTGGCGGCATCTGGCCGCCCCAAGGGCCCCAAGATACGGTAATCCCGAACAATACTCGGGGTCATTGTTTACAGCTATAAGACACATTTTGTCCCGAGCTCCATCCCCAAGGACACGCGCGCGCGGCGAGGCGAGGCGGGCCTGAAGCCTCGCGCCCGGCTCAGTTCCCGAGCCCGCGGGTCCCGGAGAGGGGTGTGGGGCGGGCGGATATGCACCCCGGCCGTGGGTGCTTGCTTTTTTTTTTTTTTTTTTTTTATCCCTGCGTCCTGGCCTGCCGGGGTGTTTACGCGCCTCTCCCAGCAGGACTGAGTAAATGCCGTCCTTTGACGCAAAACGGATCAGCCCTTCCCCAGCGGCAGCGGCAAAACCCAGAAAACTGGGGGTGGGGACGGGAGCAGAGCGCAGAAGAAATCGTGACACTTTCGCAGCCGCCTCTCAGTCCCCTTCCCGCGCCAGAGCCAGGTCCTGGGGGCCTGCGAGGAGGGGGCGCGGCCGGGCCGCCCGCCCCCCACCCTGGGCAACCGCATGTCGGCGCGGCGCGAACAGAAGCACTTTTGGTTTTCCTTTGGGCCACGGCTGCTGCCCGGCCCTCCCCCCAACCCTGCGCTCGAAAATCCGGGTGCTTCTGGGTCTCTCCCACACAGTCCTTCCAGTAACGCGGGGGGCGGGGGCGGGGCGAGGGGAGCGGGAGCTTCCTCCGCGGCCTCTGCCGTCCCGGGCGCGCCCAGCCCCGGGCAGGCGCCGCCGGAGCGCACTGGCAGGCGAGTGCACCCTTGCGCCCTGCGCCGCCCCCGCCCCGTCAGCTCCCCCGCTCCTTTCCTTTCTTGTGGGTTCCCGTAAAGCCCCGCAGCCCCCAGACGTCTGCAGAGCATCACGGAATCTGTGCTGATGCAAGTCGCAAGCCTCCCCTCGGTGCGCCCTGGCCTGCCTCCGAGCGCTTTGATCCCGGCCTCCCCCTGCTCCAGCACTCGTGCGGGCTCCCTCTGCCCGCCCGGAGGCCTGTGTGCCGCGGTGCGCCCTCACCTTTCCGTTCTCCCAGCGCCGGACGCCCAGACCTGCGCCCTGGCGCTGCTGCTGCTGAACTCCCCGGAGCCGGCGGTGCCCTGGCCCCCACTGCGCCCAAGCCCAGTTCCGTGTCCCATCCGTGAAAACCATTCCCGGGTCACCCAGTTAGAAAAGGCCCTGTGGCTCGCCGGAAGGGAGGGGACCCTTTATTGTGCGCCCAACCAGACGGGGCCACGCTGAGTGCCTGTATGTCTCCTGGAAGCCTCAGCTCCAGGCTGCAGACGAAACATGAACTCGCGGCGCGGGCTGGGGTGAGGGGATCACTGGGTGGGTTAGAGACCTGTTGGGAGTGCCCGCGGGGTTTCTTCACCTGACATCCCCTGAGGCAGGAGTGGCAGCACGAGCTTGGTCTGGTGCTGCTGTATCCCACTCTCTGAAAGTCTGTAACTTCAGCACCATCACCCAGCTTAGGGGAAAGGCCACCCCAGACAGAGAAGGAGAAGGTGTGGGCTTGGGTGCAGAGAAAAGTGGGGGTGGGATGAGGCTGCCTTTTCATTCACCGCCCTCTGGGTCTCTGCCCCGCCTTTGCCAGTTTGCTGGGTCATCCATCTTGCCCAATGGCCATCTCGGGAGAGGACTGGAATCCAAGAATGGCTGCTCGCCTGGGCTGCACTGTCGCACACACGTGAGCACTGGCCATGTGTGAAGCCCTCACACATACCTGGCCTCACTTGTCCTTGCACAGAGCACAGGGCAGGGGTGTGGCCAGCAGCCACCGGGGCCTGGACTGAGCCACAGCCTCTCCGAGGTTTCCCAGCCCGTGGTTGCTGGAGCCTGGACTCGAAGCCATCTCCCTTGACCTTAACTCCAGGGCTCTGCCGGTTCCCACACTTTCAGCCTTGAAAAGTTAGGAGCAAACTCCACTGGGAATGAGAAGCCATCCGCTCTGCATTGTGCCTGAACGAAGTTGCCAGGCACGAATGCAGCTCCGCACCATTGAGCGCGATTTAACATGCAAGTGTTTCTGTTTGCCCAAGGAACTATGGCTGTGTTAGGGGTCCACCAGCAAACAGACCGGAGGCCTCAAGGGGGATGCTCCTTAGAAAGGTGTGGGCAGGGCTGTGAGAGCAACATGGGGGCTGGACGCTCCTGGAGCCTAAGAAACAGTCCGGTGCTGTTGTAGCCTAGTGAGTGCTGGGATGAGGGCAGAGAATGTTCTGGAAAGGCGGGGAGGGGGTCGGTGTGTGTGTGGGGGGAGAATGCAGACCCAGCTCCCCCTATCACCTGCCCCATCTCTGGGCAGAGGGTGGGTCCTGATCAATGCCAGCCCCTGAGATTGGGCTCTCAGGGCCCACAGTACATCTGGTGGGGGAGGGGCACTCACCCATTGGGGCAGTAACCAGCACAGGTGCTGCCAAGTCCTGGAAGTGTCTGACCGCGCGTGGCATTTCAGAACAGTGGAAACAACAGGTTAGACTCCCCTTTAAACTGCATGAATGGATGTACTGAGCCATTGATGCTACAGGCACAGATGGGGTGGGGGGAAGGAACTGAATGACCAAGGGTGACTTCCTTAGCCAGCTAAGACAGCTGAGAGCCCATCATTTACAAAGGAAAGAGGTCCACTGTGGCTCAGGGTAGCCCATGGTGCTGGCAGGAGGTGGAAGGGTGAGAAAGAGCTAGAATGAACCCACTCCTAGGAGACAGGTGTTGATCCCTCCTGCCAATCCAGCCGCCTCTTAAAGGAGCCGCCACCATGGAACTCCGATTCCAACCCGAGTTTCATCTGGGACCCTCCAGCTTTAAGTTTTCTGGGAGGTGACACGAATGGCACATAGGCCACCACCCAACATGACTCCCATTTCACCTGTGGGTTACACACCTGTGAGAAGACACGAAGATAAAGACTTCAAGAGGCATCATCGCAGTAACACTGGAATTGAATATTGCCCACCAGGCCTGGGCTCCATGGCTTACATCTGAAAGAAATTTGCAAGCTCCAGCTTTACGATTATGGCATTTTATTCACTTTATATGACCCTCAATTTAAAAAAAAAAAAGCAAGCAAACATCAACAGCACAGTCTTTTTGTTGCCTTAGACCACATTTAGAGTTACCCTGAAGTTTGTGCAAGACTTTTCAGGAGGCCTATGCAAATGAGGCCTTCCAGCCACTCCCACAGGGCCGCTGGGAGCCGCCTAGGAGGGTGACAGCCCTGGAAGGCAGGAAGAGGGTACTTCCCCACCACCAGGTTTTTCTGTA